TGAACACTGTATGCAACTGACTTCCAGATGGTCTCTCTGTCTGTCTCTCTCTCTCTCTCTCACACACACACACACACACACACACACTGCAGCTGTGAGACAGTAAGAATGAAAGGCAAATATCTTAGTGCTTTTATGAGAAAAAACATAGAGAAGGGGACTTGAGAAACTTCATGGAAAATGAAATCAAATGATCATTTGGGGGAGGGTACAAAAAGATCTTGGAATCCATACAGTCTTTTCTACAATGCACATTTCCCATATTGCTTCCGAAGAGCCTTTGTACAGATGGAGAAAGGAAAACGGACACACACAAAAATGTGATGCACAATGCCCACAATTTTCAAAGTGAAAATCACCTATTAATTGGAGGGTCATTATACTCTTCCAGTTGTTAAAAAAATTGGTCAAGGTCAGGGTTGCAGTGTAGTGAGCTTACAGTACCAGCATCTAATATGGGCACCAGATTGGGTCCTAACTGCTCTATTTTTGATGCAGTTTCCTGCTAGTACACCTAGGAAAGCAGTGGAGGATGGCCCAAGTGCTTGGGCCCCTGCACCCACACGGGAGACCTGGAATAAGCTTCAGGCTCCTGGCTGATGTGACCATTTGGGAAGTGAACCAGTAGATGGAAGACCTTTCTCTCTCTCTGTAACTCTGAATTTCAAAACAAATACATACATTTTTTTAAAAAAAGATTTATTTATTGTTGTTGGAAAGGTAGATACACAGAGAGGAGGAGAGATAGAGAGGAAGATCTTCCGTCCGATGGTTCACTCCACAAGTGACCACAACGGCTGGAGCTGAGCCAATCCGAAACCAGGAGCCAGTAGCGAGGCCATAAGCAAGGAACTGGATGGGAAGTGGGGCCGCCGGGACTAGAAGTAGCACCCATATGGGATCCCAGCACGTGCAAGGCGAGGACCTTAACTACGCTATCATGCCAGGCCCCAAATACATATATTTTTAAAAGGAGAAATTTTTGACATTAAACAATGAGAAAAACAAAAATAATAAAAATTCTTAACAGATCTTGTTAACTACTGTCCAGTTGTGAGAGAGAAGGGACAGACAGTCAATAGCAACTTTCCTGTGCCTCGCTTGGCAGAACAATGTTGTCATCCCCAAGATGGAAGCCCAGAAACAGGTCTGGAGATGATACTTGCAATGCTGAATGCATTGAGGCAGAGTAAGTGCCTGCGATTTCTGAGAGGGACATGCGCCAGAGATACAGTTGTCAGTGTCTCTGGAGTGGAGATGGAGACAGTTGTCCCATGCACTTGATCACCTGTGAGAATAGGAAGAGATAAGGTGTGAGGATGGGCTCCTGGGGAACAGCAGCAGAAAGAGCCAGCAAAGGAGGACACAGCGGCCAACACCCAAGGTGGCTCCTGAGCCCAAGTCCACATTTCCATGTTGGTACATTTCTCTCCCACACGGGGGTGGTCCAAGGCACAGAAAGGGCAGAAGGGCAAGTGGCTCCTAAGGTTATGAGGAAATGACACTGTGGCTCCCAGTTTGGCTGCCACACTCATTCCTCTTGAGTTGCTTGCTCTGAGGGAAACTATCCATTACATCATGCTTGGCCAGCCCCATAGAGGGTCCTCATAGGGAAGAACAAAAAGGCCTTGGAAGAGGATCCTCAAGAGAAAAAGAAGAAAAAGGAGGAAAGGAAAGAGAAGATAAAGCAGAAGAAATAAATTTGAGTTTTAAAACAAGCAAGCAAGCAAGAAAGCAAGGGGCCGGCCAGCTTTGTAGTGCAGTGGGTGAAGCCATTGCCTGCAATGGATGCAGCCCATATCAGAGCACCAGCTCCACTTATGAACCAGCTCCCTGTTGGTAAACCTGGGAAGCAGCAGGTGACAGCCCAAACACTTGGGCCCTTGCCACCCACGTGGGAGGCCTAGATGGAGTTCTTGGATTCAAACTTCAGTTTCACCCACCCCGGCACTATAGCTGTCTGGGCAGTGAACCAGCAGATGAAAGATTTCTTTTGCCTGTCTGTCTCTTCTCTCTCAATCTGTCACTCTGCCTTCCAAATGCACAAATCACTTATTAAAGCAAACATAAGAAAGCTGTGGTCTCCTGAGCGATCTTGAGCCAGAGCTTGTTATCATTTCCTGACCCTAGGAAATTACCTGGGACCATCAAGGTGGCTTTAAGGCACTGAATTTTGGGATCATTTGTTGGGCGGCACAAGTAAGAGACAGCAGACAAAAGATGGCCAACCAGATGCAAAGACTGTGCGTGGGGGCCCTCAGGAACGATGCAACAGACTGCTGGAGGAAGGCCTGCTCTTCAGCCTCAAATGCCGCCACCACGTGGCAGAGAAATGGAACCTTCAGCCAAGGGGAGTGAGTAGAGTGGGGGAAGGCAGAAGCCAGCCTGTACCAAACTGAAGGGTGAGGGAGGCATTTCCTAGGAACAAACTCTTAATGGCAAGTGTCCTAATACCTAATTGGCAAGATGAGAAAGCCAAAGTCCCACTCATTGTAACCCATGGCAACATCTCCCAGCCCCTCCCTGTAAAGAATCCTTTCCAAGGACATCTCTTATTCTTTCTGGGAAGAGCTCAGACACACCCTGTGCTGGCAACCTCATTCCACTGCCAGCACTGCCAGTGACTTTTCTTTTTCTTTTTTTTTTTTTTAAAGATGTATCCACTTTTATTGGAAAGGCAGATTTACAGAGAAAAGGACAGAAAGATTTTCCATTTGTTGGTTCACTCCTCAAATGGACGCAATGCCAGAGCTGAGCGATCTGAAATCAGGAACCAGGAGCTTCTTCCAAAGTCACCAACATGTGTGCAGGGTCCCAAGGCTTTGGGCTGTCCTCCACTGCTTTCCCAGGCCACAAGCAGGGAGCTGGGTTGGAAGTGGAGCATTCAGGACACAAACTGGTGCCCACATGAGATGCCGGTTTTTGGGGATTAGCCAATAGATCCAATGCGCTGTGCCACCACCTGAGATATTCTTACGCTGCAATAGCTTGGGTGCTCCAACCGGTACCCCTAGCTGGGAAGCTGCTTCCTCTGGTTCTGTCTCACTCACCACTCCTGCCTTAACCAAGGCCTTAGGAAGAGGACTGACCACTGTGAGTGAACTGGCCCTTCCAGCTTAGCTTCTGTGGGCACTTAGCTGGTCAGGTGCCTGTACAGATGCAGCCCGCACTCCCCAGGTTATGTGGAGAATCTGCTTTTTCTTTCCTGAGAGAGGCCCCTGCCCGAGACCAAATACTGCACTGTGGAATTGAGCAAGCACAGCATCAACAAACGAAGCAATCAGAGCAATCATCTGGTGGTAGTGATTAATAGCAACAGCACTCGCTTGGTCTCGGGCGGGAGCTATACATAGGTAGCTATTCCTAGCGTAGCTCTATTTTAATGTCTTTGGCCTTCAGTCAATCAATTCACCTTCCTCTGACCCACGCTGCCTCCCCCTACAGCGAGATTTCCTGAGGAAGGCTTGCTCTGGCCTCGGGATCCACTTGCTTTGAGTTTCATAAAGTGGCCGCGTGGTGTCGTGGTCAGTCCTTGGCTTTGGAGCCAACAGGCTTGCCTCTGGGGTGTACTGGACTCTGGTACTGGCTTGGGGCTTGCAGCAGCTTAATTCCCAATATTTTGTCATCCTCAGTTTCTTCATCTGGGGGAGCAATAATGGCAATACTACAGCAGGAAGAAACGGATGCTCTGCATACTCAAAATATGGCTTCTGTATTCTTATATTTTGGGGTGAGGTGAGAGTCATTTCAGGGGTACCTGGTCATTTGCCGGGAGAATCACTTTTGGAGAAACTTTTTTGTTTGTTTTGATTTTAAACAGAGTATCCTTGTCCTTAGCTCCCTCTCTGGCCCCACCATGAGAACTAGAATGGGGAGATTTGTTCCAAAGAGCTAAATCTATTTGTGTAATAAAGTAAGTCGAAGTCGATGCATTCTTGGGGAGATGGAAGACTGGAGAAAGAGAGAGAGAGAGAGAGAGAGAGAGAGAGAATGGGGAAAGAGAGAATGGCAGCAGGCAGGGCTGTGGCTAGCAGAATAGCCCAGGAGTGGGCTGGGCATCCTACTGGTGTTGTTTCCAGAGCAGCCTGCCCTAAGGGGCGCCACTGGTGTGCTAGGTAGCCCTAACTTTCAATAGGAACCTACTGTACAGAACGGTGGAATTCAGGAGGAAAAGAAAAGAAAGGGCTCAGCTAGCAGTGACTGAGATGCGAGGGTCACACTGTGGGGGAGGGGGAAAGAAGGGCTCGACTTGGGCTGCAGCAGGAATCCAGGAGGAGGGATGGCTGTGAACCTGCCAGCCCCCTCCCCAAGAGTCCTTGTAAATCTCCGGAAAACATAGAGTTCCCGGGGACTCGGCTTTTAAAGGAAAGTGATTTAAGAAGGCTGATACAAATCAGGTTATGTAAGAATTAAATGAGAGAATATGCATAAAACAATTAGCACAGAGCCCAGCCCGTGATAAGCCCTTGAATAAAGGCAGCCCTTATGATTATATGTAGTGTTCAATTTCCTCTTTTCCTCACCCTCTTGAACTTCAAGGGCTCACATTCTTGAAAAGTATGATATAGTCATTCATTGATCGTACACGCATTTATCCCATTCCTCCTCTATCAGGTAAGATAACTTCAGCAGAAATCATCACACATGGCTGACATTACTGAATATTCAGAATGTGCTGGGTGCTGTGCTGAGTACTCTCCATGGCTTATCTCATTGAATCCTCACCATAAACCTACAGAAGAACAAATACACTTTGCCAACAAAGAGTTTGGGGCGCAGTGCCATTCAGCATCTCGCCCAGGGCAAGGAGCCAAGGTTGGAACCCAGGCAGTAGGGTCTCTGCCCTGGGTTTAGATGCACCTTGCATGCACATGGGGAAGGGCCAGAAGAAACAGGCAGGGTTTTCTTGCCTTCATCCTGCCCCCCAGCCCATCACTAATCCCTTCCTAGCTTTAAGCTCACTTTAAGGCCCTGGGGTCCCAAACTTCCTCCTGCCAGGAGCAGCTCCTCAACTGGCTGACTTCTGTTGTGCTGGTGCCCACCACTGGTGCAAGAGAATAAGAAGGCAGGACCAGGTAATTAGAAGTCGACTATTTTCCATCACGCAGCACAACAGCAATAAATAAATCAATCACTTGGGGGTGGGCAATGACTTTCCTATAATCAGCTATTAAAGGCTTGTATCACTAATTAGTCTATTAATTAGAACAGTTCTCTTCCCTCCACATGTTATCAGCCTGCCAAGGCAGAGAAAACCCAGCCCTGGGGGCAGGAGAGAGGAGAAATACAGACAGACTCAAGTAGCAGATTCAAACAGCTGGCTTGTGTGTTTTAAAAGCACAGCTCTTAGTGCCCGGGGCAAATCCACCTGCTAGCAGGAAAAGAGCGGTTATCAGAAACCAAAGTGCTGTTGTCTTTGTTGAACAGAAAGGGGGAAAAGCGATTTAATCTTTAAAGAGGAAAGTGGCACACTCACACACAGGGCATCTGTGAAGGGCAGTTCCATTGCGTGTTCCCCAGGGAATCGGATCGAGTGAGAAACAAACAGGCTCAGGACAGAGGAGGCATGGTCAGAAAGCCCAGCAGTAGCAGCCAAGGGACTCCACCCCTGCTGGAGGCTCAGCCGTGCAGTCCAAGGGAGCCATCACACACTGAGCCCCAGCCATGCACCTGGCACTGCTTCCAGTCTTGCAGTTTGCATGACCTTGTTCAACGAACTCAAGGACCATGAAGTTCCTACAAGGGAGAGTCATATGGATCATTAGTGTCTAGTCCATAAGGGGTGGCTATTTGTCCACGCTTTCCTGTTTGGCTCTGGGTGGCCCATGCCCCCTGGTCACCAAGAGCTTGGACCAGCAGCTCACCACCACTCCCGATCTCCTGTAAAGTCACAGGGCTCTGCCTGTGCCCAGAAGCCTGCAAGTCATCCCCGAATGGTTCCAACAGGCTCCAGCCCCAGTGCTGTCTCTGTGCCCTTGGGAACAGAACAGTAGGTGAACTTGGGATCTCATTTCCCTTTCCTTGTTTTCCAGCTCCTGCATTCTCCCTCCTTTCTTTCCTAGCCATTAGACAGACACTCCTACAACCAAATGAAAAATACCAGACAGAGGGTAGATGTCCAGGAAGGGGCTCCCATTCACAGCTGTTGAGTTATCTCATTTAATCCTGGAAATTGCCACGTGGCGAGCTATTAACAAGCCACCTTTGCAGAATGGGGACACTGCGGCTCAGAAAGGTTAATCTGCCCAGGCTTCCACAAGCCCTGGCAAAGCATTCAGTTACTAGGTTTGGAAATGGGAGCTATCCAGCTTCTGGGAGCCTGAGGCACTGCAGGGTGAAAATGGGTGGTCAGTGGAGGTCACCTAACTAGGATGTGACAACAAGTAGAGCTGGGAAAGGAAGGATCAGCTCCAAGGTCACCTGCCCCATCCCATTCCTTCCAGTGCCTACACTGTTGCTAGATAACTCATGCCACCAACAGCCCACCCTCTACCCTAAGAAGGGTAAGTGGTGCAGTGGGTTAAACTGTTGCTTGGGACACCTGCCGCCCTACTCTGAGTGCCAAATCAACTGTCTTTATGCTGCTTCTGATCCAGCTCCCTACTGCGGTGTGTGGGGCAAGCAGCTGAGGATGGCCCAAGTGCTTGGACCCCTGACATCCCCATTCACAGGCAAGATTGAGGAGTTCTGGGCTCCTGCCTTCAGTGAGGGCATCTGGGAGAGTGAATCAGTAGAAGGAAGATGTTCATTCTCTCTCTTTCTCCCTCCCTCCCTCCTTCCTTCTCTCACACACACACCTTTCCAGATAATAAATAAAATAAACATTATTTTGTTTGTTTGAAAGGAGTGAGTGTTGACAGGATCCTTAGGATGTTGACATGTGTGTGCCTCAGTGTTGCTTCCTGCTTGGGAGGTGGATGGGAGGAGCAGTCAGCCCAGTGTTCCCAGGAATCAGTGAGGTGCTCTTTGCCATGGGCTTCACAATGCTCACCTTCTGTTTCCTCATATGCAAAGTGGGCAATGTCAGCTGCTACTCCAAATGTTACTGAGAGATCAAATGGGGTAATACAATGCCACTTGCTCACATACAGAGACTGGGGACCAGAAAATCATAAAATATTGCCCAATATCCCTCTGGTCACCTTCGGAACAACCCTAAGTATTACTATCCTTTTTGTCAATTGAGAAAATTGAGGCCCAGAAAGACTGAAATTTACCTGAAAATTGTGAGTAGTGCTATTACTGGATAATAGTGATGGGGCCGGTGTTATGGCACAGCAAATTAACCTAACATTTACAACATGGCAGCCCTCATGGGTGCCAGTTCAAGTCCTAGTTGCTCCACTTTTATTGCAACTCTCTACTATTGCACCTGGTAAATTAGTAGAAGTGTGTAAGCTGGACCATGAGTGGAGGGGAGAGGAAGAAGGAGAAGAGAGGAAAGGAGAGGAGAGGAGACTTCCCCTCATCACCCAACTATCTCCAAAAGCTGCACCTTCTAAACACGATCTTATCAAGACCTAGGATCTCAGTATATGAATTTTAGAAGGGCACAGAAATTCTTGCCACAGCAAATGTGGGAACTGGATCTCAGTCTGTTGAGACTCAAGGCAGGTAGGCTAATTAGAACAGGGACAAATGCAGTTCCACGCAGGAAATAATGGAAGATGAAGGAGGAAATGGAGAAAAGAGCCATCTTGGAAATCTAGCAAGGGATTAGGAAGTGGATTCAGGACGTGGTGATGTACTGGGGTCTGCAAAGAGGAGGGAAGTGAGATGTGTAAGTGAAGTCTGGCTTCTGGGGACTGCTGGTGCGTGAGACTTGTGGTGGTGGTAACCTGTGGTGAACTAGGGAACCCTGGAAGTGGTTCGTGTGACACTGGCAGGTGTCCAGTAGGGGACAGGGCACACTGGAGGTGGGGCGTGTGATGTTTGTAGGCGCCCTGTAGTGGACCAGGGCACACTGGAGGAGGTTACTGCAATGCTGGCAGGTGCTCAGTAGGGGAACAGGGCACACTGGAGGTGGGGAGTGTGATGGATACAGGTGCCCTGTAGTGGACCAGAGCACACAGGAGGGGGGGAGTGTGATGGGTACAGGTGTCCTGTAGTGGACCAAGGCACATTGGAGGTGGAGAGTGTGATGTTTGTAGGTGCCCTGTAGTGGACCAGGGCACACTGGAGGTGGTTACTGCGATGCTGGCAGGTGCTTAGTAGGGGATCAGGGCACACTGGAGGTGGGGAGTGTGATGGGTACAGGTGCATCCTGCAGGAACTTATATGCCACCCCCATCCGGACTCCTAACTTACAGCTCCTTGCACACAGAGACATGAAGGGATCTTGCCAGTCTGAGGATCCTGTTTTCTAGGTTCTCAGATGTGTGGCTGGCGGAACCTTTCGGAGGGGGTTGAGGAACATCAGGGAGAGGAGGTACAGCAAGCCATCTCTGGAGCAGTGGCAGTCTCGTGCTTGGGGCCCTTCCTCCCACATCCAACTTGTCCAACTTGTCCTTGGTCACTGAAAAGCTGAGGATCCAAGGCATGGCAGGTAAGGCTCCTCAGTCTCGGAAGGGGAAGCTCATCTAAAAGGAGTTGACCCACTGGGAGGGGAGCTAAGACAGCCAGCAACAGAAGGAGGCACAGGTGGATTTACCTCCAGTAACAGCCACCAAAGACACAACCAGCTCACTCCCAGAAAACTCAAGTCAACCATGGCAGTTCTGAACAGGAAAACCAGGTAGGAAGGAGCATCCCTGGGGCCTTAGGGGTGCACTGAGAGTCCCACCGGCTGGGATGCAGGCCTGGGGTCCAAGGGAGACAGACACTCCTGCGGCAGCAAACACCAGCTGGGTCTCCGGCATCTTAGGGTACTCCCCTGCGGGTCGGCGAGGGTGTTGGGTGGTGGGGTGTCCCAGACTCCTTGAAATACCATGAAATTGTGGTTGTGTGTGCACCTGCACTTGTTTGGACAGAAGGTACACAGGCCTCTTCCAGTTCTGAAAAGGCTCCGTAGCTGATAAGCGATTTAAACATTTTTTTTATAAGAAAAGAAAAAGCCAGCAGAATGCTCGGAATCTCCCGAAGCGAGATTCACAGGCGGGCAGGGGCATCTGCGTGGGTTTTTCCTTTTCAAGCAAACTCGGAAGTGACCTGGCACCAGCCCTCCGAGCTCCCTGGCAGGCGGGCCCGCCGAGACCTTGCAGCACTGACCTCAAGGGCTTCCTGCCGCGGCCCACCCCGAGCCCCCACCACATTTGCCGGAGGGTCGGGGTTCGGGGGCGGCTTCCTCCTCGCTGTAAGCATCGCGAGCTGAGGAGAATGCCGGCAGGCCGGGTCACAGGATTCGGAGCGAGGCCAGCACCTCAGGCGAGGAACTCTGCCGCCTCCTCCACATTCAGTGCTGAGGGGACAGGTGTGCCGTCCCGAGGCCGGGGTCGGTCCTCCGGCCGGTGTCGCCCGCCTCCCTCCCGACCCGCCGCAAACCTCTAGTCCGATTCTGGGAATTTCCGAGGCAGACGGCGGCCGGGACTGCGGCAGAATGTTCGCCGGACGCGAGCGTGCGCCGCGCGGACGCGGCCGCTGGGTGGCGCGGCGCGGGGCGCCGAGCGTGGGAAGCGCGGGCGCGCGGGCGGGCTGAGCTCGCTCACACGGCCGGGAAGCGGCGGCCGCGCAGCCGGCGGCTGCAGCGGCTGCGCAGCGCGCGCCTGCCGCGGGGCTCCTGGGGGCCGGCGAGCCCATTTGCGCAGTCCCCCAGGGGAGGGACGAGGCCGCCCAGGTGAGAGCTGGGGGCCCTGGCTGGGCGGGAGTGGGTGCCGCGGGCCGGGCCTGCGGGACAGTCCCCGAGCACCCACGGGAGCGGGTGGGCTCCCCACCGCGGGGGCGATGCCCGGGACCCTGGGCGCGCCCCACACCTGCTGCAGCGCGGCCTCCCGGCGTAACTGCCCTCGCTTCGGGGGTCGGGGCCGGTTCGCGGCCTGGAGCAACCTCCGGCCGGGCCTGGGGTTCGGCGGCTCCGGGCCCGCGGGGCTGGGAGGCGGACAGGCAGCCCCCCGAGCCCGCACGGGAGCCGCTACCCGCTGCCGGCCTGGGCAGTGCGCGCTGCGCAGTGGGCGTGGTGCCCCTTCTGCTGCAGAGGGGCCACCCGGAGTTGAGGGTGACCGTGGGGGAGGCAGCGGGGGAGACAGGTGGTTGAGGGGGTGAGGGCTGGCGCGCCGCAGCTGGCGAGGGTAACTCGCATTTCCTCCTCCCCGCTTCTTCGGGGGGCGCCGCGGCGCGCGAGGTGGCGGCAGGAAGGCCCAAGGCGTTATCTCCGCCGGCCGAGGGAGGGCAGGTGCCACCGGAGGAGATGCCGCCGGGCCTGCCTCGGTTCCGTCTCTCCGCAGCAAAAATTGAAGAAAGTGGGAAAGTGGGTGTGGTGATGAAGGTGGAGGAGTTTGATGGAGACGAAACTGCCGGCTGGCTGCCTGGCTCCTGCGTGTGCAGTCACCGCGGAGCTTTCTCCCAAGACTGCGGGGGTGCCATGCCAGGGAGAGAGGCACAGGCTACTGAGGCAGCAGGAGTAGGTTCTGCAGGCTAACAGCCCAGGCTATCTAGAGGGGGAGGCAGGCCAGGGTGTGGTGGGAGCTCAGGGAAGTTCCTGAAGACCCCACCTGCCGGCCGAGTTGCAGCCCCAGACCATGATTGGGGATTTGGCATTTGCCAAATGTGCTTCCTCTTCCTTTTTCTTTCCCTTTCGGTTTGTTTTGCTTCGTAGAGGAACAGCAAATGACAGAGCAGAGGAATGGCCGGCCCAGCCAATCCTGGAGCTACCGTAGCCCTTGGTCCCCCAAACCAGCCCTCTCTGGGGTGGGAGGACAGAGGAGGGGGCTCCTGGTTCCCACCCCACCAGGACCACCTCCTCCCCTGGCACAGGCCTGATGGCCATCAGCAGCCCCAGGTGGATGGAAGGGCAGTGGTACCCTCTCCCCCTGCTGCCCAGCGTGAGAAAGAGAAGGCAGATCCAGGCAAGCCTTTCTGAGTCCTCTGGGGTGGAAGGAGCAGGTAGAGACAGGACCGAGGCAGCGGGGACCTGCTGTGCTGTGGCCTCAGTGCCAGGAGGGCTGTGCCTCCAGCCCCTCGGGTTTGGTTCCACCCCTGGCCTGGCCCTGGCACTCGGCAACTGTGTCTGTGTGCTCATTGGTGCCACCATGTTATATAACGCTTATATAATCTCCCAGGCCAAGTGCCGGGTCTCTGCTGTCAGGTCACATAGACTCCGTGTCCATGTGGGAGGCAAGGCCCTGTGGGAGCTTGAGGGTAGACTGTTCCCCGTCCCCACCCCACCCCAGCCTGGATCCTCCTTCTGCTCCTAGCCTGGGAGTGGAAGTAAGAGTGTTTGTGGGGGTGAGGGCAGGGATGGAGGGGGCACACACCGCACCAGCTACGTGAAGCTGCGGAAGAGAGGTTGTCTGGGTGGCCTTTCTCTTCTTGTCCCTGTGTCCCTTCTGCCCCGTAGATGCTGGTATGGGAGCTGTCAGTCTTGGGCTTTAAGGCCCACCCTTTGTTTTTGGGCCCCTGGCATAGCAGGTGGATGTGATGAGATGATTCTCAGAGTGTGGCAGTGCACGAAGGCATGGTCCTTGGAGTTGGAGAAAGAGAGGGAGAAATTGGCTGTACTCTTCTGGTTCTGAACAGTGGTGACTAGGAGGATGGCAATGATGTCGCAGGAAATTTGGACTGGGGCTAGGGCCTAGGGGGGTGGCCAGGGAAGGGCGGACATGGAAGTGGATCAGACAGCAAAGATAAACATGGTGTTCTTTTACTGTACTCTCCACTGGGCTGTCCCTGGTTACCAGGGCAACAGAAGCAGTGATGAAAATCATGCCTTTCGTTCAGTGGAAAAAATCTAGCTCCTCCTCCCGCCTCTTCCTTCTCTAATCACCCACGGCCCATTGGGAAGATGTTGCCTCTGGGGAGTGGAGGTCCCTCTGTGCCTCCATCGTGCCTCCTTGCCCCTTGCCTTTCAGCATCTGTCTCCTTGCTGCATCTCCTGTCCTTCGCACCCCCCAGCCGAGCTCTGGCAATTGGCATCGCGTAGGAGTTGGAGTAGATGGAGGGGGAAGGGTAAGGACGTCATGGCAGGGTAGGGTGAGCAAGGCGTGGGCAGAGACATGGATGCAGTCAAGGCTGGCGCTGGAGGAGCCTGTCGTTGGCCAGCTGGATGGAGCTCGTTTCTGCAGTGGTGGGAATCAGGGCTGGACAGGGTGAGAAGGATGGTAGAGGGCCTGCAGAGTGGGAGGAAGCAGGGAGGCACACGGTGGCCAGGGAAGCAGAGTCTCATGGTCAAGTATCCATGCATTCGGCATATAATAGGTGCCCCCATGTTAGGTAAGGTCCTGAGAGCTGGGAAGCCTGGAGTGACTGGCTGTGGACCTTGACCTTGAAGAGCTCTTGGTGCTTGGGAGGAAGAGAACAGCTGGTAATGTTACAAACTTAGAATTAGGCCTCAGGCAGAAACTCTTGATGTGGAGGGTTAATATGGAGGCCATGGAGTGCAGCGGAGGTGGACCGAGCGCCACTGTGGCCTGGGGACAGGACCTTGGCCTGAGAACGTGCTGACATTTTAAGCCTGAGTGATTGATGGAAGCAGAAAGCTTAGGGTTAGGCTTGTTTGAGAGGTCATGTTGGATTTGCTGGCAGATGTGTTGCCTTCAAGACGGTGATGGGGCGGCTGTGTGGCCATGCAGTAGGAGTCTTAGCTGGCCGCTGTTGCTGAGAAGGTGTGGCAAAGTCCTTGCCAGGGCCTGAAGCACTGAGCAGGAGTTGGAAGATGCTCCGTGCCTTGTGCTTGTCTTGCCCAGCCTCCTGGGCTGGTTTCTGTCACGAATACCCATATTCTTCTCCCCCTAGTAGCTATGTCCAAAAGCTGGAGGTGGCAGGGGAGACACAGGCAACACACATGTGCGGGAACTTCAACAAGTTTGTAGAAATGGAGTTAAAACAAATGCAAGTAGTTGAGTGGTGGTTAAGACTCTCTTGGGACACCTGTATCCTATATTAGGGGTTGTAACTGTTCTCCTGTCTTCCATTTCCTGTTGATACACCCTTGGTGGGGGGTACAGCAGGTGATGGTCCCACTAGTTGGTCCCCTGCCACCCTTGTGGGATTGGGTTCCTACCTCTGAGCTTCAGTCTGGCCCAGCCTCGGCTATGGTGCAGGTGATTTGCGAATGAACCAGCACTTTCAGTGGGTATATCTCTTTCTGTCACTCTACCGCTCATATAAAGTCAGTTCATAAAACTTTACAAAAATAAGTTTGTTTAAATACAGATATTTGAAATGCACATAGTTTTTTTTCATATTGTACATTTTGAAGATCCCTGAAATGCATGGATTTTGATATATTTTTAACACGACGATGAACTTATCTTTTACTTCTGCTTTCCACACGCTTTGTGAATTGCTCTCACCCACTTGGTCCCTTGACCTTTGCCCTGCTTGGTGGCCTTGGCTGCACAGTGGACGCTGTCACAGGGCCTTGGCCCCCTCCAGCATGCCCTTTCTACGCTTCCTTTCCCGCTTCACTGTGGAGGAGTAGGCACAAAAACAGAAACAGATGACTTTTACCAATGACATGACCTTGGAAGTGTCACTTCCTATTCCGGACCCTAGTGTCCAGTCAGGGACCTGTTTTTTTCTAAAGACCTTGGACTTGACAGCTTTTTCTGCCTTTGTGCAGGCGTCTGATGCAGGTCAACTTTTTCTTTTTCCTTTTTTTTTTTTTTTTTTTGAACAAGCAACCTAGATTTCTTAAATGTTTTGTAGAAGGTAGTTCTCAGGGGTGGAGGCCAGGTCCCTGGAGTAGGGCTTCATCTTTGGAATCCCCAGGTGGCTGGTAGTCAACTGCTCTACTTTGGAGTATGGAACTGCTGGAAGAGCAGGTTTTCCCCAGGGATGAGAGCCTGTCAAACTATGGCCCATGAGCTGGATGCCTTTTCAAAAATATGAATATTTTGTAATATAGGTAGAGGGTGGGAGGTTGCTAGAGACAAGAGCAGCAGCGACTAGGACCGCACCAGACGGAAACTGGAGGCTGGGAACTTAGTCCAGACTTCCTGGGGGCAATAAGGAGCCAGCTACTTGAGCCATCACCTGCTGCCTCCCAGGCTTTGCATTAGCAGGAAGCTGGAGCAGGTTGAATACCTGTTTTTATAAAGTTTTATTGGTACAGAGACATACACGTTGTTGATACATTGTCCCTCACTGGTTTCGTGCTATCATGGGCCCGTTGAGACAAGTGACAGGCCAGTATGAAACATTCACTGTCCTGCTCTATAAGATAAACATTGGCCAACCTCTGTGTAGAGTGCTGGGGAAGGCTTGTGTGTCAGCTGGGACTGCCTCTGTCTATGGCTGTTCCAGATTTCTGGGGTTCTTGAAGATGCCGTGTTCAGTCTGACTTTGTGCTCCCATGGACAATGATCTGGCTGTTGAGATAGTGGGTTAGTGGAGTCAACACAAAAATATTAATTCTGTGTCCAGGAACCCTCTTTCATTTTCAGACCTTTTCCTGGAACCCCAAGGGGGCCCACCTGTCTTAGAGCCAGGAGGTTGTCCATGAGGCTGGGTCATGGCCTTGTTGTGACACACGATGTTCCCTCCCTTTCTTGACTGACCACAGTCTCTGGTCTGGAGGAAGGGAAGCTCACTGGTTGTGCTGGGATCTATGGCATATTCCCTGGGGTGTCCCTGCCTTGTGTCTGTTTTAGTGCCAAGGTCCTGGGTCTGAGCACAGAG